TATCTGTGGAATATTACTGCCTCAGCATTTGCCTAAGTGATCCAAGGAAACCACAGAAAAACTTGGACCAAGGCAGACGGACCCGGAATCGAACCGGCGTCCTCCCGAATGCTAAGCAATGGTCTAGACCTCTAGGCCATGCCGCTCGGTTGACTTTTTGAATCACCCTGTATATTATACCGTTATCGGTAGTGCATGGCACTCAAACTTTAATCATGGCGATTCTTCTACTATAACCTCACCTAACCTAAAATAATCCCTTATGGGAAAGTATTCCGGCTGTAACCTAACCTGAAGCCGCGGTACATAGCATTTTACATATGTTAATCTAGTCATAACCTAACTGACTCTATACTATATAGCACTGCACATAAGTCAATTAGAGAGTCGACTCTCACCAGAACCTAACGTACACGTTCATCACCACGTCAAAAGATTGGTAATTTTTTAATTAAAAATACCGATTAAATGACAACATTTTGGATATTGAAACTAGGCCGAAAGCACAATTCCAGTCTTTAATTAGACGTCTCAATAGTCAGGAAATTCTATAATTTTGTCTCTTTGATGGAAAACTATATTGCATAGATACGTAAACATAAGTAGGACATTATCTAGTGATTAAACAAATTTAGTACAACTTAACATAGCGTGGCACAAGTTCAATATGTGGCATACATGTAAGATGATCAATTACGTTGTTGGATAATTTCTTAAAACATACATGGTTCTTGGCACGTAGTACATGTATACTCGATCAAATTAAAGAATTATTTCCCCGTCGTAAATTTAATTACCCAGTTTATGTTAGTTTTAGTTTAAACAGCAATCTCGGAAAAATCGTTTTCTGCGGAAATTAAACATCGCTTATTTTATCTGCTATTAATACTACCAAACGAATTTGGCAGTACCCCTCGTACGGTTTTGGCTTATGAATGGGTTCATATTTGATCCTATCTTTACAGTAAGTGTTAGCCACGTGAGAAATCACATAATTCGTTTTCAGGTTGGCTGGAATTTGTTTTTTTCCTGAATTTTCCTATGTAGATAATTTAAAATGTTCACCAAACATGGAAATTACTCATCCATTTGTCGGTAATTTCTCATTTTATGTCGCACGAGCTAAAATTTAATTACTTAATTACTTCGTCCTTTGTACTATCTATTACTTTATTGTTCATATGAAAAAAATGCTGGAAGTCGTTTTATAAATATTCCTATATCACATCATATTTTTTAATATATTTGTGAAAAGATCTACAAAATTAAATATTTCACTACAAATTTACTAAAAAGTAGCTACTAATACGATGCCAATTAGAGCCTCAGATCAATAGAAATGAGTATTTTATTTGCTACACTGAAAATTAGCTACAAATTAGAGTCCGACATCGGCTGAAAGAAATTAATGTACCTGATCTGCTAGAATAACATTAAGCTAGCAACAGATCATACAATTTCCCTGGGTGTATATAAGTTCTCTAAAATTAATTCTTTCACTACAAATTATATACAAAATGTGATGCCAATTAGAGTCTCAGATAGATTGAACAGATTACTTAATATGATGTGTTATACTGAAAAATATGGTACAAATTAGAGTCAGACGGCAGAAATAAATAAATGTATGTGATCTACTACGATAACATCAAGCTAGCAGTAGATCATCCGATTTCCCGGGATATGTAGCTCTACAAAATTAATTCTTTCACTACAAATTAGCTACAAAATTAGATGCCCATTACAACCTCAGATTGATTAAAACGAGGATTTATAATCTGCTAGAATAATGTCAAGTCAACAGTGGATATAAAAGGGATATAATGCAGAGGATAGCGCTTGGTCGAGTCCCTTCAATAAAAAGAAGTCGCTTCTCTGCTTGTCAACGATTTATTTAGAAAATCCAAAAAGATTGTTAAAGGTGTATGTTTGGAGCGCGGCACTGTACGGGTGCGAAACATGGACGGTGGGCGCGGCGGAAAAGAAAA